GAAATGCTTCCCAAAGGGTGGAGAAGGAGAGGGCAGCATCCTCTTGTCCCCAGGGTGGGGAGCATGGCAGCCAGCGAGCCCCTAACGCAGCCCAGCGGCTATGCCACCTTCACTGGTGTCTCAGCATGTGTTGGTTCTCAGCCTGGCTATAAAACCACCCATCCTTTGGCTGGGCAGAAGAACAGCCTGATCCAGCCGTTCCCATGTGTTGCCAGGCCAGAAAAGCTCGTTAGTGTCTTTCTTGTTAAGTAAAAATTGCTGGGGCCATTGGCTTTGGAGGGCAGAAGGACCGAGAAGGTACTCAGCGTGCCTGGCCTGTGGAAGGAGGCTGGATGGGACTTGTTCTGCAGGTTGTGTTGGGAGATGAAAGGGGAGAAGAATGTATTTCAAAGCTATCAGAATGCAATGGTATCCTACACAAGGTGTGGTTAACCCATGGTACCCATGGCTGCAGGATTTCTACAGGGAGAGAGCCAGAGCTTCCCTCTGCCAGGTTTGTAGCGTTCCTGAAGCCCTGGGCTTGGTGATGGGCGTGGGATCCCAGGGAGAATCCCGTCCCCTAGGCTGCAGGGCCAGCATTTGCCTCCCTGTCTGGCATGGGAAGGGTCTTTTCCATGAGACAAGGTCTGGTCTGGCTGGGACCTGCAGGGACAGCGGTGAGAGGATGAATCTTGCTCCGAAGGCATCCTAGCTCAGATCCAGTCTGCTCTGAACTCAGCCCGCAAAATTATTCTCTAAAAAAGCAACAGTAGTAAGTCAGGAAGTTGTTGGTGTCCCTGGGGTGTGAACTGAGCTGTCCTGGCCCTGGGTGGGAGTGAGCTCCAGGGGTGCTGTGCTGGGTCCCCACTGACACAGGGTTGAGCCGAGCCCTCCCAGCGCCCAGCTGGGAGTCAGTACATCCACAACCCAACTCCGGGGCCAGAGGACTGGCCGTGGTCTCCCTCCTCCCTGTGTGGGAGAGCAAGGATGCTCTGGGCACCTCTGCCAGCACCCTTCCTTACCCGTGTGCCATGAAGGTGCTCAGAACTCAAAGCAAAGTTGGTGTGAGGTATCCGGACAGCATGCCTGGCTCTGTGTGGGTGGATGGTCAAAGGGCCAGGGGAATGTGTAGACAGCAACAGGCTTGGAGAATAGAAAAAGCTGATCCTGAGTGTCCTCTTGGGCTGGCAAAATGCAGAAAAGTGCCTTCTCCTGTCACTGCAGAAAATAGTTTGAGCGTGACTTGGTTGGGGTTTGGTTGCTGCAGTGGGACAGGAGGGATTTACACTCCACCCACCGCCTCAGGGGCCTCTCCCCATCCAACACAAAAATAGGCTGATCTTTCCAAAAGATGGGGCGGACGGGCTGGAAAATGCCATTCCTGCAGGGACCTGCCGTGCTTTGCCCCAGGAGGAGATGTGTCACTTGACTGTGGCTTTCTGCAGGCCTGGGCAGGGACACAGGCAAGGGCCCGGCGTCGTCCTGCGCTGTGTCCCCGCTGCCGTCGGGGAGTCACAGCCTCTGCACGTGCCCCTGTGCCTGTGCTCAGCAGGAGCGTTCCCTCCTTGTGCTGTATCCTGAAGCTCAAGGAGACGATGTTTTTCCTTCCCAAAGGGCATCTGAAGCAGAAATCTCCTGCAGGGCACGTGCTGCAGCCCCATCCACGTGCTCCTGTGGAGCTGGTCAGAGGCTGGAGGCTCTGCCAGCACCTGGAAGCTGCCATCCCATTGCCCCTGGTTCTCTGCTCCAGCATGGGCAGAACTAGGTCCCCATCAGTAGATCCAGTCCCAGAGATGCCAGGTGGGTGTCAGTGGAACAGGCCCTCCCAATGCCACGGTGAGCCCCACGGCACTGTGGTGTGATGGAGGAGCTAGGTCCTCCATCCTCAGCAGCACTGGGCAGCCAGCGGCCAGGGGCTGGTGGGGAGGCTTCTGACAGGGTGTCTGGCTGGATAAACAGCTCCTCTGCTGCCCCATCGCTGCTTCTGGGAGACTCCCATCCCTGGACATTGGCGGTGCCCGTGGGCAGCCCTTTCTCAGGGTTATGGAGATGTTCCTGGTGGCTTGGTCCTGCTGCTTGTCCGGGCTCCGCTCACCAACGGGGACTGGCCCATGTCCAGCTCCCGCCTGGCATTTCCCTTGTTGACGTGTTTCAGGCCCTACATGGCCAGGCCCTGGCTCCCACTGAGCCGCATATCTGCCTGTACCCATCGATGCTCCCTATGGCACCTCCTTCATCACCGGGGCTGGCAGGATGCTCCATGCAGCTTCTCAAGGGCTCCAGCACCACCTAATCCCCTGGGAGGGTTTGGGGGACTCCAGGCTCCCCCCCTCTCCATCCTCCCCCAGCCACTTCAGCTGCCCTGAGTGACGCCACGCCGGTGCCGGCGGAGCGGCCGAGCCCACGCGCGCACGGCTGGCGGGCACAGAGTGAGGAGGGGGAGAGGGGCCACGTCCCGGTGAGCGCTTTCAGGCAGGGTAATCCGGTGTTATTTGTAACACTAGTAGGGAGCTATTTTTAGCGAGAGGCAAATTTGATTTAATAGTACATAATTTGCCGCTGACAATTCAGAGGGCAGCCAAACGAGGAGCAGCTGGATTCCTAAGGAGGCTTTTTCCTGCCCTTCCTGAAATCCAAGGCTGACTTGCCAGAAGTGGCATTTGTTATTCCAGCTTTTGCTGGGGGAAAGCCCCTTGGGATAGCCCAATTAGCTCCGCTTGGTGCCGCCCCATCGCCCATCGTTAAAAGAAGGAAGGGATATTTTTGCTGCCGTCTGTTGTGGGAAGGCTCAGTGCTCCCAAACTCCTTCAGGCAGCTGGAGCCAGCCATGTCCCCCCTGCTTTGCCTTTCCTTCTAACTAGCTCTGTGCTCTCAGCCTCTCCTTGGATAAATTTAGAATGAAAAATAGGTTCCGATCAAACCAAACAGCTCATTTGCCAGGAAACATGAAGTCTGTGTGCACTTTTGGGGGTTTCTTATGGATTGAGTTCTTCTGGGCCAGCCCTTGGAGATACTTTGGGACAAACTGATCATCCAGGAAAGGAGCAAACACCATGTTCTTGCTTGTGCTTTCCCCAAGATGAAGATTCCCACAAAACTGATGGCAGTGTGGAAAGACATGGGGTAGTTCTTTCCTAGCCCTACCACCATTGCATCCAGCCCGTCCCCAGTTGGTGGCATGGGGACAAAGAGCTGCCAGGATGAGCTGGGATAGCCGTAGGCTGGAGGTGAGTTGCCATGAGGCCACAGAGCCCCGATGAGGGTGGGAAGGTGACATTTCCTCCAGGATTATGTGTTGTCTCCCCACGGGTGCCTCAGGGCAGAGCAGTGAGGGCACTCCTCCCTATCCTGGGACAGCCATCCCCCCACCACCCTGTGCAGAAGCAGCATTTTATAGGGTCCCCAAGCTCCACAGCCCTCCGGGCAGCCTCAAAAGGAGCCAAGAAGCCCCAGGCCATGGAGGGGTGGAACAAGGCTCCAGCAGCTGTGTCCTCCCAGGAGGAAAGGACTGAGCAGGACTAAGCATTGTCATGGTGTTTAACTCCAGCAAATGTGTGTTCAGGGTTTGGTGGGCTCCTCTCCAGATGTGCAGTCACTCCCTGCACCTGGAAAACCCCTTGGCAGCCATCCAGATGGGTACTCAGCCCTGTGCTGCTCGCTCAGGGGTCACCATCCTCCCCGCAGCCTCAAGGAGGATTTGCTCCCTCCTCTGCCAACACCAGGCTTTGTCCCTGGACCACATCTTGCCTGGAGCACTTGTAGCAGCTGAATATAAAGCCAAAATAGCATTAGTAAAGAAATACTGGGGAAAGCCCTAAGAATGAGGGGTTAAGTGACTGCTGCTGGTGCATCCCATATGTGAATGTCCCTAGGGACACCAGCTGGGATTGGTGTGGCATTCGAGACCCGACAAATCCCACAAATGACTCACACACTTTAATAAAATACCTTTTTCTGTGAATGAAGACTTGCAGTCAGCTGGGGGGTGGGTGCTCCTTGAGCATCACCCCAAGTCCTGTGACCCCTTCCTCAGGTCATCCTTGCTCTGCTTTCTCCAGTCCATCCGGAGAGAGCTCAGGCTGGTGGAAACTGGGAGCCAACATTTGACAGGGAAACAACCCTAAAATGAAGATCGAATTCCTTGGAGAACAATCACCTCCTCCAAATGTTGCCCTTTGCCTGGATGACCAATTTGGTTAAATGAAAAAACTAATCAGTTTTGAAGCCTGAAAATGTGTGGGCGGGAGAGGGTCCCTTGGTTGGGGTTTCTCTGTGACACAGATTTTTCCCTAGTGCTCAGTTTTGACTGTAGATTTTAATTTACAATGATTTTCTGACGGTCACCACCAGCTTTAGAGGTGGAGTGAGCTGGGAGTTTCGTCTCTTTTGGATCCCCTGCCTCCAGGTGCTGCATCTTCTCTAATTAATTGTGCCCTTCCTTCTGCTCCTCATGCTGGGTTCCCCTGGAAAATGCTGGGGACTGTCCCCAGGGACTCCAAGCACTGGGGATGGTCACACAGAGAGGTGCCCTGACCCTTGTGCTCGCCCCTCTTTCTACCAATCCCCTGCTGCAGCCACTCCCCTCCCTGTTCCTTGGAGCAAGTGTCCCCCACATATGCAGTGGGGGGCCCTTCCCAACTGGGAAAGCACCCTGGCACCCCATTTCCAAGCTCACACACCCCCTGCCCCACAGACCCCCCTGCTGAAGGTGACTGTTCCCCGGGGCACTGTGGCAGGGCAGGCAGTGCAGCAGGACCCAGCCCCTGCCCGCCGTGGGCAGGGCACTGCTGACCTCCTCCTCTCTTTCTGCCCCCCTACAGGGAGGAAGGTGCTGACCAGGTGCCCTGAAGCTCTGGGGTTCACTGCCCACGGGCTCAGCAGGATGATGCCAGCAGTCCAAGAGCCTCCTACGCTCCTCGCAGTGCCAGTGTGACCGAGTGGACAGCGGGTACCTGTGGCACTGAGCCTGGCACGGCAGCGCAGCAGCCGGTGGCCCTCGCCACGAGCCCTGCTGCCCAAAGATGAGCGATGGCATGTGGATCTCGCTCAGCCCCACCGAGTTTGCCCAGCTCCAGCAGTACACAGACTGTGAGTACCCTCTGCCCCTCCTGGGACGGGGGAGAAGGGGTCAAAAAGTCCTGTTGATCTGTGCCAGACTGGTACCCTACGTTTTCATAGCATCCTCCTAGAGAACTACATAACTCCTTAGATTTTGGATGGGGAGTCTGGGAAGGTCCCTGACCCTCAGCACTGGCTGGTGGGGGTCCCTGTGCCTGCATGCCTGGGAGGATTTAGCTGAGCTCTGGGGGCTGGACACGTGAGCACGGCTCAGTCCCTCTGAAGGCGGCGGGCTCCCACGTTCGTTAGCAAAGTGAAATGCCAACCAGGAAAGCAGACTGGCTTTTCCCAAACACACGGAGCTGCTCCACAGCTTGCCTTGGGTTGCCAACCCTCTGTGGTAATTTTCCTTAGTGCTTTTGAAGAGCAACCTGCTGCAGCTCCTGCCGAGGGATGGAGGTTGGTGGCACTGCCAGAGGGTTCTGGGGCTGGGAGCAGCTGGAGAGGGAGCCTGGGCAAAGCCCAGGGGTCTGAAACCAAGTCCTTGAGGTCCTGCCTGCCAAAGAGCTGGGTGTGCTCTTCACAGCAGTTGATGGAGAAGCAGCACAGCCCAGGGAGGTGCTGAGAGCAGGGCAGGATGAGCAGGAAAGCCCAGCCAGGATGACAGGATGAAGGAAGAAGGGGTGTAAAATCTCAGGAGTGTTGCTTTGCAGGATTGGCATGACCCTGGGGTGAGCAGGCTGGATGGGGGAGGACTGAGAGGCAAAGAGGACCCCAAGCACCCTCTGAGGCTGTCTTTGGGGACATCCCTTTGACACTGTGTATCAAAGGGATGAGAGTGGGGGCAAGTTCTTCCCAGGCCTCTGCTCCCCAGCCAGAGACCTCAGGCAGGGGCAGGCGGGGATGCAGGCAGAGGTGTGTGTGCATTATCCCTCTCTGCATCTCATCCTGCCTCTCTGGAGGATGTGCTCTGCTTTGCTGAATCCCAGACCCTAAAACACCATCTGTAATGCTGGCCTCAAAACACAGACAGCATCTTCATTTCGTTAATCGAAGCGTGGCCAGCAAGGCTGCAGCATGGGTAGCTGCTTCCTCCCCAGGAGGGTGGCCTGGCACTGGGCTGGAGAGCAGGGCTGGGGGGTCATCCCAGCCCTGGGGCCAGGAAACCCCTTTTTGAACACCCTAGACATCCCAGACAGTTGTGGTCCAGTGCTGAGTTCCATCCCCAGTGGAGGGCGGGGGGGATCAGAACCAGCACAGCCCCCACTCAGAGAGAGGATTGCACAGTAATTAACAGGGCTAGTGTGTCCAAGAACCTTTTAAATGCATGTGCCCAGACGTGTGTGAAGGTGAAGGCTGAAGGTTCCCTCCCCTTGGTCTTTTTTTTTTCTTCTTTTCCTATTTTTTCTCTATTTCGGAAGGACCAATGTCCCTCCAGACACTCCAGCCCTGATGACACCCAGCCAGGGAAGGTCATTACTGCTTGTACAGAAGGTAGCACAGAGCAATCCAAAGAGGAAACGGCCACAGACTTCACCAGAGGAGGTTTAGATTGGACATGAGGAAAAAGTTCTTCCCCAAAAAGGGTTGTCAAGCACTGAAACAAGCACCCAGGGCAGTGGTGGAGTCACCATGCCTGGAGGGATTTAAAAGCCATGTAGATGTGGGATGTAGTTTAGTGGTGAATGCACTGGTGCTGGGTTAATGGTTGGACTCTACAATCTTAGAGGGCTTTTCCAACCTGAATGATTCCATGATTCTATGGATACTGTTCTATTTCTCCCTCCTGGCACCTCCTAAGGATGCCAGTGGGCAGCCCAAGGCAGCCTCTGGGATTGGCTGGGGCTGCCAAGGGATGCCAGCGTTCACCCAGAGCCCTGCACTGGGGCAGGGACATTCAGGGATATGCTCAGCATCACCTCCCGAGCAGCCAGGACTGGGGAGTGGTTTGGGCTTTCCTTACTTTGCTCTGGGTTTGTGTTCATTTTCATACAGTTAAGAGGAAGCTCTCTATATATGTAAAGCTCCCAGGCCAGCTTTCCATAACTGCCCTACCCTCTGAAGGTGGAAGGGGAAACAGGGCATGGATGGCCCCTTCCAGGCATGGAAGGATTCAGAAATTGTACATCCAGCAGATAAACCCCTCTGCACCATCCTGCTCATGGATGACAAAGGGTGCTCAGTGTGGCCATGCTCAGCACGGTGCCTTTGTCTCCCCAGACTCCACTAAGAAGCTCAAGGATGTCCTGGAGGAGTTCCATGGGGACGGCGTCCTCTCGAGGTACAACCCCGAACAGGTATGGCCCTGTCCTGCCAGCATTCCCCTGTGCTGCTGGCAGCTCCTGGCCCCCTGCTAGCTCCCCCAGCCTGGCTCCCACCCCTGAAAGCAGCTGGGAGAAGGCAGGGCTGGCTGGCTGCCCCCCAACTCTCCCCATGGTCGTGCTCCCAGGACTGGACTCCCTGGCCATCCTGGGGACCATGCACACTGCCTCATCCCAGTGATGTTGCCATGGGTGCTGGCAGCTGGCTGCCTTGCTGAGAGCTTTTTGGGGGCATTCCCTTGCCAGGCAGAATGTGGGAGAGATTTACTGTTCCCTGAAAAGCAAATTACTTTGCCGGTGTGGTGACGGGAGGGGTCTGTGCCTTCTCACTCTCCCCTGAAGAAGGCTGGGATTATTTTTTCTGAGTAGTGATTTCAGAGAGACCTCTTAGTGTGCCAGCAGGACAGAGCCTTCCACAGGGGCTGTAATCACTAGAATCGAGGCAAAATGAGGAGTGTCAGTCGGCTGACCATGGTGAGGAAGGGCACAAAGCTACCCCACTATTCCAGGGCACCACAGGACCCTCACTCCAGCTGGGTCCACAAAAGCCATTGGGAAGGCATCATCCCCACGCAATGGCAATGCTCAGTGGGGAAGGAGGAGGGGAGGAGACCTCAGGAGGATGACAGTCCCCAGGGGCTGGGGGCAGGCTGGGGGGTCCTGCTGCTCTGCCCTTCCCTGCCACTCCTTCAGCTCCTGCCCTGGCTGCTGAGCCTGATCCCAGCACCACTGGCCTGGCTGAGCCACGCTGGCACTGGACATTTCTGGCCCTGCTGCCTCTGGGTCCCTTTAGGTTATATCCCACACTGGGAATTGGGGAGCCAGCAGCTTTGGGGAGGGCTGTGTAGCTGATGTGCCCGGTGAGGGGGGCCAAGGGCATGGAGCCTCACCCACACTGGCCACTCTGCACCCTCCTGGTATGGCTGGGGCACCTCTATCCTCCTCCTCTGCACCCTCCTGGTATGGCTGGGGCACCTCTATCCTCCTCCTCTGCACCCTCCTGGTATGGCTGGGGCACCTCTATCCTCCTCCTCGGTCTCCTCCCCAGCCCATCGACTACGAGGGCTTCCGCCTGTTCATGAAGACGTACCTGGAGGCAGATGTGCCTGAGGAGCTCTGCCAACACCTCTTCACCTCCTTCAAGCGTAAGATATGCCAAGCCTCCCCCGAGACCCAGCGCCAGAGCCCCGGTGTCTCCCAGCACAGCACCCTCGGTGAGCCCACCCTGCCACCCAGCTGGGCATGCCGGGGCACCATGGCATGGTGGGGTTGCTCCCAAACTGCTCACAGGGATGGAGGTTGGGGAGTGGCACCTGAAGTGGGTGGCATCGGGACCAGCACACAACCCAGTTCTTCTCCATCTGACGGGTGGGCTCCCAGGGCCCTTTGCTGTTCCAGGGAGGGATTTCCCTAGGATGGGCACCCACAGGGCACCATGGCACTGGTTCCTCCCTTTCCTTTGTGCGTTCAGAGCCCAAGTCAGCATCTCCATCCAGAGTGAGGTGGCCTATGCCCCTGTCACAGGTACTGGTGCAGGCAGCCACCCTGCACTCAGCAGCACCCAAGTCTGCCTCCCCCAGCCCGTTCCGTGTGGATTTGTGGCTCATGGAGACATCTACTGAAAGGACTATAAATTGCAAAAGGAAAAGGAGAACCTCCCCGGACACTGGACCCTGACTGATGGTGAAGGACAACATCCTCCCTGTCTGGTCCCAAGAACCGTGGTGGACATCATCCAGGGGTGGAAGCACTGCTGGGAGCCACTGGGACAGGCAGGAGATTGAGGGGGCCACCCATGGTGGCTCTCAGAAATCCCTGGGGCTGAGATGCTAGGACAGAGAGGCATGGGGCTAGCAGAGAGGACCCAGGGCGAGCACTCAGCACACAGTTCCTGGAGTAAGGGGCGCAGGCACCCTGGTGTCACACTGCCCCGGGCATATACCTTACTTTGCAGGGATCAATGGGAAAGTGCTTCGAAGTGCCCTGGGACGACACACTCCTGAGCCCAAGAGCTGCCACAGCAACGTGGCTGAGCTGCAGCCAGTATCCCTCACACCAGCATCGATCCCCAATGCCTCCCCCAGCTGGTCCAGATCATCCTCCCAGAAGTCCACCACCGGCACCACTTCTGCTCACAACTCCTCAGGCTCTTCAAGGATCTCCTCCGTGTCTCTGCTCAGCCCTCAGTCACCAGGTGAGCTTGGCTGGGACTCCACATGGGGGGACATGGACAGTGATAAGCCCTCTGCAGTTTCCGTGCCCTGGCAGTGCAGCTGGTCAGGTCTCCATCACGGTGGTGGTGACCTTCCTTCTTGTCATCTTGACACCTTTGCTTGGCAAACTTAAGCCACTGATCCCATCCCACAGAGCCCCCACCAGTCAATGCCTTAATTACCTGGCAGCAGCTCGTAGGGAGGGGGAAATGGGATGATGAGTCATGGCTGCCCCCTACCCGGCTCCTGCCAACCCCCAGGGAGGCAAGCATTGGAAGGGCCCCTTTGCCAGGAGCCACCATCTGCCAAAGGCTGCTGTCGGCACGGGCGGCAGCGAGCGTGGGCTGTCCTGGCACCCCAGCAAGCTGCTTCACTGCCCACTGAGCTTCTCACTCCTTCTGGATGGGTGCTGATCCCTGTCAGGACATGTCCCCATGGGCTCTGACTACTCATCCCACCTGCACCTGCAGTGATTGAGGGATGGGGGTCTGTGCCCCAGGGATTGAATGGCAGTGTCCAGCCCTGCTCCAGCAATGGCACCCAGCCTCGGGGCCCCTTTGTGCTCCCAGCCCTACTCCAGCAGTGTCACCCAGCCCCACATCCTCCCTGTGTTCCAGCTCTTCTCCTGTGATGGGCCCCAGCCCCACACCCCCTTTGTGTCCCCAGCCCTTCCCCTGTGGTGCCACTCAGCCCCATGACGAATGGGTCCCTGCCCCCAGAGCCTCTGTGGCCCACCCGGGGATGACTTTTGGCCCAGTGTCATTCCTGCGTGTGGCCTCTCTTCCTGCCCACAGGCACGAGGGGCGTGGAGAAGAGGTTACCCTTCAGCCTGCGGAAGAGCCCCAGCTCCCTGAAAGCCACCCCCCCTCCACCCCCCACCGCCCTGGCCCAGGTGGTCCACCTGAAGGACATTGTCTGCTACCTGTCACTGCTGGAGAGGGGACGAGCAGAGGACAAGCTGGAGTGTAAGTGGGACCCTGCGGTCATGCCGTGTGGAGGGGGGTCACCTGAGGGGGGGTTTGCCCAAGAAGGGGTGCAGAGCTGGATGTTCCTGCCCATTTGGGAAGAACACTCAGCATCCCCCTCTGCTCCTGGGTGCGTTACCCATGCCTGGCAGAGGGGCTTTACTCTGATACCCCGCAGCCCCAGGGTCACATCTCACCCCAGCTGAGCTGGCACAGCATTGCTCCCACCTCAGAGCCCCAGCAGCATGGAGCTGGGTGCCCGGGGTGCCCCGGGGTGCCCCAGGGCAGGGCTCTATCAGCAGCTTCTCTCCTCCCTCCAGTTATGTTTCGCCTCTACGATACTGATGGAAACGGCCTCCTGGACAGCTCGGTGAGCCTTCCATGAGAGACAAAGCGGGGGCTCCTCGGGGGGCTGGAAGCAGGCAGGGCACTACTGAGGTGCCCACTCCCAAGGTGAGGTGCTCTGAGCTGGGCAGCAATATGGGAAAGGAGGAGGAAGGCAGCAGCTGGACCGCAGGGCTGGGAGACGCGTGCCAGCTCCACTGCATCCAGCAGCAGCAAGAAAAAATCCACCCAACCAGAAACTGTAGCTCTGCATCAGGTCATGGTGTTTCAGAGGAGAAAAAATGCACTGCTCCTTCTCCCTTGGGGTGTTTTCTCTTTGTTCTTTGGGTATCGCCCTTGAAACCTGTTGGAAATAAAATATGGTTTGTCAGAATAGTTTTTCCCAGGGAAAACCTACTGCAGATTTTCTTGCATGTTTTCAGGGCAGAAGACCACTCCCAGCACCCACTGAGGACTGGTGTGTCGCTGCCCCTCCTGTGTGGGTGGGGACTGGGGTGGCCTTGGGCATATGGAAATGTAAACCTGATACATCCCCAGATTGGGGGCTTGGGGCTGGACACTCTGCTCGTGCCTGAAGCCATTCCTAAGCATCGGTCACCGCTGTCTCTCTGTGCTCAGGAGCTGGATCGTATCATCAACCAGATGGTGCACGTGGCTGAGTACCTGGAGTGGGACTCCACTGAGCTGAAACCCGTGAGTGCTGGGGCTGGGGGCAGCTGGGGCAGATGTGGGGATCCACAGCCAGAGTTGTAGCTGGAATCACCGTACCTCTACATTTTTTTCCTCCTCCAGATCTTGAAGGCGATGATGGAGGAGATAGATTATGATCACGATGGGACTGTGACGCTGGAGGAATGGATCCGGGGTGGCATGACCACCATCCCCTTGCTGGTCCTTCTGGGGATGGAGACGGTGAGTGCCCCCACAGGGACCTGCTTTGGCTGCATCCAGCCTGCCTCCAGCAACAGACTACACACTCATACAACACCACACAGCCCCACACCGGCCCCCAACCCTTTTGACATCCCCACTCTGCCCCCTTTACCCCCAGATCTTCCCAGGCTCAGTTCTGAGCTGTAGTCACTGCCAGCTCCTATGCCCAAGAAGGCTGGGCTCACTCCTTGCTATTGCAGCATAATCCAGTTAGATGAATAGTTAATCAAAAATTAAGGTGAGCACCTAAAATGGTAACTCCTCTTATGGGGTGAGCTTCAAAGAGCAGAGATGGGGCAGTTGGAACCCCCCTTATTTCTCTGTGGTGTTTTTTCATCCTTTTGGCCTTCATTTCTTTCAGGTGCATCCCTGGCCACTGGGTAATAGTTCGCAGGGAAAAATCTGTGGTTTTGCTCATGGTGCCCATGCTTCCCATGGAGAGGTGGGGGTGGGGGACAGGCTTTCTGGCAGGAAAATTCAAGAAAGCAAGGAATTTTAACTGGCTCCTGCAAAGCACTCTTGCCTGGCCCCAGGTGTAAGAGGCTTGTGCTTTTGTCACCGTGTGGTGATGGCCTGGACCCAGATGTGGAGTCACCTTCCTGTCACCCACCAAGATCCTCCCTGTGGCTGGGCTGTGCCGAGGGGCTGTGGGAGCTGGAGCTTGGTGCCAGGAGTTGGACATGCCCAGGGCCTGCATGCTTGGAGAAACACCAGGGAGAAGGGGAGCAGGGGGAGCCCATGATCCTGCTGGGAGCAAACTCCCACAAACATAGTGAGGGGGTTTAGGGGATGAAAAGCCTATAAAAATGGTGGGCTGAGGGCGCTGGGACCCCCGGCAGCAGGGGAGTGACCCCTTACCCTCCACTCTACTGCCCTGCAGAATGTGAAGGATGATGGGCAGCATGCCTGGAGGCTGAAGCACTTCAAGAAACCTGCCTACTGCAACTTCTGCCGCACCATGCTGCTGGGGGTCCGCAAGCAGGGCCTCTGCTGCTCCTGTGAGTCCTGGATCCTTGCCAGCATGTTGCACCCCCAGGCTGGCAGCTCCCACTCCATCCAGTGCCCTGGGGAGAGGGGACTGGTCCCTGTCAGTGCTGAGCCCCGTGAGTACTGCAGGGTGAGAGGGGAGGAGACAGTTCCCATGCTGGAGAGTGATGCTCACCATCTGCTTCGTGGCACTTGGGGATATGGTTTAGTGGTAGTGTTGGGGTAGCAGTTGGACTCAATGGTCTTAGAAGGGTTTTCCAAACTAAATGATTCTGTGGCTCTATGATTCTTCTCTCTCACCAGTCTGCAAGTATACAGTCCATGAGAGGTGTGTGTCCAAAGAGATTGCCTCCTGCATCAGTACCTACGTTAAATCCAAGAGAAACACAAGCGTGAGTAGACAACCGGCGCATTTCTGAGTCAGTGGGTCTCCTGGCCCCTTGGTCTCCTGCTCTGATCCCGCATGGCTTTTTCCACTGGGATTTGCCCCTCTCATCCTGGGCAGCAGCTCATGGGCATTCCCAGCATCCAAAACCTTGCAGGATGCACCCTGTCTCCAGTCCCCAGTCACTCACAGGACCTCAGTCCCAAGGTTTGCCATGGTTCCAGACTGGGGAACAGGTGCTGCATGGAACAGCAGGGAGGGAAGTCAGCTGTGTGACGGGCTGGATTGGATCAGTCAGCATCCCTGCAGGACAAGCTTCTGAAATCGTGGCAGCCGCCCTTAGCAGGAGGGAGAAGCCTGTGTGGGTCGGTCGTGTGCCTGCAGTGTCCCCCTGTGCCCTGCAGGTGATGCAGCACACCTGGATCGAGGGCAATTCCCCCGTCAAGTGCGACAGATGTCACAAGAGCATCAAGTGCTACCAGGGCATCACCGGCCTGCACTGCGTCTGGTGCCAAGTCACCGTGAGTACAGGGGGCTGGGGCACACCCACAGTGCCCCCTGCACGGTCAGCCTGGGGAGGAGAGGCTCACAGGCGGGAGATGGCAGGTGTCCCCTGCTCAACATCCCTTCCTCCTGCCCCTCCAGCTCCACAACAAGTGTGCCTCCCATGTGAAGCCAGAGTGTGATGGGGGCCCACTGCGGGACCACATCTTGTTGCCATCCTACATCTGCCCGGTTGTCCTGGTAAGTGCCCCTCTCATCCTGGTACGTGACCCTCTTGTAGTGGTAAGTGCCTCCCTTGTTCTGGTAAGTGCCCCCCTCCTTGCTGCCGGTGATAGGAACCCATCAGGGCATCACTGAGGCCAGCCTGCCTCCCCCAGGTGCTGGCACTGCCTTCTGGGGCAGTGTGGGCATCCATACCTCTGTTCCCCAAAGGACAGGCAGTCCCACTGCCGACGATCAGAGAGCGACTCCCCTGCCAGCACCACCCCCGAGGACACCCAAGGCTTCAAGTTCAACTCCACCACAGTTGATGGGCAAGGGCTGCAGGTAGGTTCCCACACTGGGCTGCAGGTGAGCTCTGCTGCTGAGCCCCGCAGCAGGCAGGAATTCACAGCTCCATTTTCTGCCCTCCAGATCAGCCCCCGGCCCGGGACACACCCACTCCTGGTGCTTGTGAACCCCAAGAGCGGAGGAAGGCAAGGGGAGCGGTAGGTGGGGTCCTACCCAGGGAGAGCATCCCGCCTTGGATGGGGGCTGCTGGTCCCTTGTGCATCACTCCTGGTGTGGGACTCACCTCCGCAGCGTTCCTCACACCTTTCTCTTCCCAGAGTCCTTCGGAAGTTTCACTACCTGCTCAACCCACGCCAAGTGTACAACCTGGACCGCGGCGGGCCCGCGCCAGGGTACGGAGTCACTGCAGCTGATCCTCTGTCCTCTCCTGCCAGGCCCTGCTCCCCCACGTCACACCTTGTCTCTCCTGGCTTTCTCCAGGCTGAACTTCTTTCGGGACACTCCAGATTTCCGTGTGCTGGCCTGCGGAGGGGACGGCACGGTGGGTTGGATCCTGGACTGCATAGGTGAGCAAGGGACAGCTGTGTTCCTACAGGGCATCATCTGCCTGCATCCTTGGTGATCTGCCACAGATTCACAATATTCCCCGTATGAAAATGGGGGGGGTCCTGACAACAGCATCATCCCGGGCTACCGGCCGAGGAGGGACATGGAGAGGAGCAGGAATAAGCCTTGTCAGCCCCAAACCTCTCTTCCCCCTTGAATTGCAGATAAGGCGAACCTGGTGAAGCACCCGCCGGTGGCTGTCCTGCCCCTGGGAACGGGCAATGACCTGGCACGGTGCCTGCGCTGGGGAGGAGGTGAGGCCAGATGAGCACTGCCCAGGGGGTGCCCACACTGCCCAGGGGGTGCCCACACTGCCCAGGGGGTGCCCACACTGCCCAGGGGGACCCTCCAGTGTAGCTGGGTGGGTGCCATCGCAGGGCAGGGAGGACTCCTGGGCTCTTGGGATATGGTTGGAGCTTCATCTCAGCCTGGTGCCTCCAGGCACCCCCTACAAAAACAGCAGCCACTGCTTTCTCAACCCCCCTGCAGCTGGGTCCTGCCCAACCTTTTCCATCAGGAGAGCCCCACCATTAGCTGAAATCTCTGCCACTGCTGTGAGGGTGTGGCATAGCAGCAGCCCCAGGCTCCCCCAGGTGCTTGACACCCAACTGTGACGTGGCTGTGCTCCCCTTCATCCTCCTTCATCCTCCTCTTTCCCTTCCAGGCTATGAAGGAGGCAACCTGATGAAGGTCCTGAAAGACATTGAGCACAGCACGGAGGTGATGCTGGACCGCTGGCAGATAGATGTTATTCCCAGTGACAGGGAGGCCAATGGAGATCCCGTCCCATCCACTATCATCAACAACTACTTCTCCATTGGGGTGGTGAGTTCCATGAACCAAGGATGGGTCTTTCCCTCCCAGTTCCTCCTTGCTCACATTCCCAACCTCCCTCCATCTCCTGGCCTTATTTTTCTGGTTTTATTGTCATTTGCAATGGCAACACTTAGATATGTAAGCAGGCATGGGATTTCTCTTTTCCACTGAGAAGAATGTGAAAGGAGCTTAAACGGGGTTCAAGGGAAGTTTGGGGCACCAGGGATGAGGACACTTCACCTACCAAGACAGCACCCATCAGCAAAGTCCTGCTTTGGTGCTCAGACCCACGTTCCCCCATGTTTTCCTGACCCAGGGGAGTCTGGCATCCCTGTGCCACAGGGGTTTTCCCCAGTGCTGGGGCTCAATCCTGAGAGTGGGAGGGATTTGGGAAAGCCCTTCTCTTCCCAGGGGCTTGCAGCACTTTTGTCCTGGGCTGGGGTGCCACCATGGTGTGGGTTACCCACTTGCAGCTCTATGGGATGCTTCTGGGTTCACGTCAGCTCTCACCAGGGGGTGTCACTGCAGGTGGCATTTGGTGACAGCTTCTGAGTTGGACTCAAACACCCCCACCCTGCATAAGGAAAGGGTGTGAGGAGCTTCAGGAGAGCTGCCACCCTGCTAGGGGAGCTGCCAAGGTGTGTCCAGTGTCCCTGGAGCCCCACTGCCCCGCTGGTAGCCCTCTCTCCACCCTCAGCATCCCCTCAATGTGATGAGGGAAGGAGGCCAAGTGTACTAATTACATCTCACTTAACAAGCTTTGGGAGGAGCCTGGCTGAGGGCCCCTCCATAGCCTCAGCATGGCTGCCACACCATGTCCTTGTGCCACGGGGGCCAGCGATGACCATGAAGAGCTGAGCTCCTGTACCTTGACGTTTGCCCACAGAGCACAGAGTGGGGGTTTCTGTGCTGTGCCACTGATGTCTCTGTGCTCCCACTCCCCACAGGACGCCTCCATCGCCCACCGCTTCCACATCATGCGAGAGAAGCACCCTGAGAAATTCAACAGCAGGTAACAGCTTCCCAGGAGCCCCCCGGAAAGCTGGGTGTGGGGGGACACCTTGATGCTGCCATGCATCATGCCAAAGGGACCTTGTGTTTGGTCAACCTTAGGACACAGGCAGGGCATGCACAGGGCATGGTGGAGGTCCAGGGCAAGGCTTGGCAGGGGTTTGGGGTGCTCCTTCAAGCCCCGTGTGTTGTGTCAGGCTGCTTGAACTTGGCCACGCACCCAGCTACGTTCATTCATGCTTTCTAATTAGCATGGAATTCCAGGACAGGCAGGAGCAGGCCAGGCAGTGAGGGCAGGGCAGTCAGGCAGCAGGTCACAGCTCGCTCCTGCTGTGCTTCGGGCGTGTGGAAATGGGGTGATGGCAGCAGGAGCTGTGGCTTGTGATCCCCATCCCCAGGTTCAGAAATACCTGCTAGAAAAATCCTGAATGGACGAAAGTGTCTGGTTCTGCCCTAAAATTCAGCTCCCCTCAGCTTACAGCTCCTCACAGCTTACAGCCCCCCATCAAAACCTGGCACAACAACTGATGCAGGGGGTGAGCCATGGTCAGGGGCTGCCTGACATAGTGCCAGGAGGGTTCTGAGGTGTGAGACATCCCCTCCATGGGGTATCCCATCCCCGGCAGCCTTGTCAAGATATACTGGCCCGTCCCATGCCAAGGGAGCACCCAGCACCCCCATGCACAGGGTGTCTAAGCCAAGTCTGCCTGAGCCACCCCTTGTCCCATCACACAACTCCCAAGGGTCATGATGCTGGCAGTTCCTTTCCAGAATGGCTTGTGTCCCCATCCATAGCTCATGTCCCCATCCATGGCTCATGTCCCCAGCACAACTCCAGACAATCTCTGGCAGCTCATCTTGCTGCTAACTGGGGCAAGGCACCACTTCCAAGCAGGATGCTGACGTGTCTCTGTGCCCCAGGATGAAGAACAAGCTGTGGTACTTCGAATTCGGAACATCGGAGACCTTTGCAGCCACCTGCAAGAAGCTCCACGACTATGTTGAGGTGGAGGTGGGTTTCCTGGGGTGGTCCCTGGCTCCAGCCATGGCACAAAGGCTTTTCGGGAGCTGTTGGCCATAAGTTCCTCAGGCAGGGCTTTTGACTATTTGGAGAGAGGGTGCCACCATGGCTTTGACCCCTCACAGTGGTAGGAGGACACAGTCACTGGCAGGACCCCCCATTCCACCACGTGGCACTTGCTGCAAAGCCAGCCAGCTGCAGGCAGAAGAATAGGCCTGTATTCCCCACTTCCAGCTGTATTCGAGAGCGTGCCTGGAATATTCTCTCTATAAACTTCACGCTGCTCCCAGCGCTCGTTGGATGACATGGAAACAGCCTTTAATTAGAGCTGGGAGGAGGGCCCGTGGTTGCTAAGAGCGCTGTCACTTCTCCGGAGGCGCTGGGGGGTTCGGCCGTAAACTTCCGTCTCTCCTTATCTCCAGATAAACCACCCTTTTATAACTTAGGCTGGAGGGTGAGGGGAGAAAAGCAGTGCTTGCTGCAAGAGACTGGTGGGAATCAGAGCAGGTGGCGGGCACAGGGGTGCTGGCTGTGGGCAGAGAGCGGGCAGAGCCTGGAGAGCTGGCCCTGCAGATGTGGGGCCATGGGCAGAGCAATTCTTATGCCTGTTTCTAGACTGGGAGTTTCATCCCTTCCCAAAGCCCAAGATGGGTAGCTGCACCCATAGAAGCCGGTGGGAAGGAGCAAGAGCAGCATCAAAACCATCTCACCCCCTTCCCCATCCATGCAGCAGTGTCCCAGGGTAGATAAAGTCTGTGTCTGTGGGGTTCAGTGCTACTGGAGATGGGCACAAGGTGCCCCCCATTCCTTGCCAGGTGCTCCCCACCGAACATCCCCACCAGCTGAGTCCACTGGCAGGAAAGCGTTAATCCCACAGTATATGAAGTTGAAAGCAGCAGCCTGTCCTCCCTCGGCTCCCAGGCAACTGTCAGCCTTGCAGAGAAATGGCAGTTTTGTTTTGGAAATTGGCACTCATTCCCTCTACGACTCCTGGAAATGAATTTGCTTTTTCCCCCAGCTGCAAATTTCTCCTTCCAGCCTCGCTGCCAGCACGCCGTCAGCTGCCCCTGCTCAAAGGGCCCATTGTAGCTCGTTGGCACGCAAACCAGGGAGGACTCCACAGGGAGAATTGCTCCTGCCCGTGGGTGTGTGGGCAGGCGTGGGCAGCTGTGGGCAGGAACAGGCTCCTGCAGCATCCCATCGTCCCGCACCCTGGGCAGCCAACTCACTCCCATCCCACTGTGGCTAGGTTGGTTCCCACTGCCTTGCAGGCAGGTGGGAAAGGTGCCTGCAGTTGGGGGTGATGCTCAGGCCGTGTTGTCCGTCCCACAAGACATTGGAGCCCTTTCGCTTGGTACCCACTGCTCAAGCGTTGAGGTCTTTTCTCTTCCTACAAATCATAATATCATTAAGATGTATTGAGAATGAAATGATTTACATCCTTTCCAGGCCCTGGAGAAATAGTTCTTCCCTCCCAGACTAGAAGATTCCTGCATTTTGCTTTCAGTGCAAGGCTAAAAATAAGATCCCGCAGCATCAGGGCAGGCAGAACAGATCTGACACACTGAGGTGTTTGCTCGTGTGAGCGTCCAGCTCTGCATACACGGGGCTGGTGTCCTCAGCGTTGGCCAAGAGGGTGGTAAAAATAAGCTCCAAACCTTTGCTAGAGGAAAACAACTGGAGTTAGAGCAACAGCGGGGGCTTATCAGTCCGTTTCATTCCTCTTGGCACAGCAAGTGAGAGCAGAGATGCCTTTGCATCACCAAGAGGCAAGGAAAAAGCTGTGCTGGGATTTGCTGAGGTGCAGAGTGGCAGGCAGAGAGCAGATGCCTCAAGGAAAATAGGAATGCTTTAAAGAAATTCCACTTGGATGGGAAAGCAGCTGCTTCCACCAGAGGTATCTAGGAAGGGGATCTGCGTCTGGGTAGTATGAGAAGACCTGAAGTTAAGAAATGCATTTCCACGGCTGCTGCCTTCAATCCTGTGGGAAAGCTGCAGGAAATGGATATTTTTCCTTTTACAGGGAATTTTCAGCCAGGGCAGTCCTGCTGTACGACAGCAAAACCTGGGACGCCAGTCCTGTGTGCTGTCTTGTGGTTTTCACTCCAAAACCTGACATTTTTCCCTCTGACAGCTTTCCCATAATTTCCTTCCAGCCTCATTTCTAGTTTCCTAGTGTCTCTTGAAAACAAACTGGTTTGAGCTATTTTTTGGGCAGCCAAACTTTCCAGTCCTTTGGAGTCAGTTTGAACAAGGGGAGGTGGGGAATCATGTGCTGGAGCTCCTTGGGTGGAAGTCACTTCAGGGTTGAGTTGATGTTGCCTCCTATTTTGGGTCACAGCACTGAGCCCAGCCAAGGTTTTCTGTGATCTCCCAGGAACCTGCTTTTTAAAACTGCCATTTTGGACATGTAGTAAAATTTCCATGGAAATAGAGGGGAGAGCAGCACAAGGAGGGTGAGGTGGTGGTAGTCAGCTCTAGGAAAGCAAAGTGTGGGGGGGTATTTGCATCTCCAGCCCCAGTCACCCCAGCGGACTATCCAGTGTCACACTGTGCTCCTGTGGCGGGGAGAGGAGGCTGGGCTCCATGGTGATGGGCACCAGCCCCCCAGCCCCACGTTCTGACACTGCCCACATACCTGGCAGTGTGACGGGACCCTGCTAGACCTGAGCAACATGTCCCTGGAGGGCATCGCTGTCCTCAACATCCCCAGCATGTACGGAGGCTCCAACCTCTGGGGCGAGACCAAGAAGCAGCGTGGTTACAACCGGCTGGGCAAGAAGGCGCCGGAGAAGGTGCCCGGCACGGTGGTCACCGATGCCAAGGAGCTGAAGTTCTGCGTGCAGGGTGAGCCATGGGCAATAGGGGAGTGTGTGGGGTTAGCACGGGGGCACTGGGCACCCCCCAGGTCTGGAGCAACAGCACTGGAGGGGTTGTTATTGGCTCACTGTCTTTTGGGGTGCCAGGGTGACCCCACAGTGTGGCAAAGGAGGAGCTGGAACAGAGCTGCAGAGCTGGCATCGAGGGCTTTTGTAAGCATCTCTTCTCAGGCTCTGCCACAGCGCTGCCAGCATGGATGTGGGCTTCAGGAGCAGCACAGTGCCCACACTGTGTCCTGGCCAGCACCTTGCACTCACTGCTGCAGCCACCAGTTATCCCCATGGGCAGGGGCAGCCCCAAGTGCTGCCAGCATTCCCCAGTGGGTAACAGTGGGCTAGAAGCAGCCAGCAAAATAGCAAAAGTGCCTGGATTTTCCACCCACCACTTCCCACAGCCTGGGTCTGGGGTTGGAAACAGCCCCCCTGTGATGACACTGCCAGAATGACGGTGTCATATCCCAGACCATCAATGGCTCTCCCTTGCTGGGTGAGCCAGTGGGAACAGGCAGCAGGGAGTGGGACAGAGCAAAAGCCAGTCCCAAAGGCACTGTAAGGGACAGCAGGGTCGGTACCCTGGGGACAGCCCCACTTGTGGGTGGGTAGGATGGTATGGGAGGCTCAGAGGGCTTCTCGGGGGTGGAGTGGCAGGGGTGTGTGAAAGGTAACCCTGAAGGATTGAGTTGTGTCAGAGTTGGGTGCCCTTGCTGGTGGCCCAGAAGAGCAGGATGAGCTGGGATAAGGGGCTATGCCCTGGGATTTGAGCAGATTTCTTACAGTGAGGATTCTGCCATGCATGATGGCTCCTGGGAGGCTGCAGCACCCCTGGGCACCCAGGGAAGGGGTGTCACCATTTCATACAATGCAAACAAACAGTTGAAGGGCTGCTGGGGATCTGGGCTGGCACCCTGCAGCCATATAGGCCCGGGTGCTATTGCAGACCAGGAGAGTTTTTGCTCCAGAGATTTTGGATAGCAGCACTGCAAACATCCAGATTGGTGGTCATGGGACACAAAGGACATCAGGACACATCCCCCCAGTGCCACCAGCCCTGCTGCACTTCAGGACAGCCAGCAGCCCTGCTGCACTTCAGGACAGCCAGCAGCCCTGCTGTGCCGGCCCTGATGTTTCGCACGATGGCAGAAGGTAGGTAGGGGATCCCTGGGGATGGGATCTCAGACCCCTCTCTCTTGCAGACCTCAGTGACCACCTCCTGGAGGTGGTGGGGCTGGAGGGTGCAATGGAGATGGGGCAGATCTACACGGGGCTGAAGAGCGCGGGGAAGAGACTGGCCCAGTGTTCCTCTGTCACTATCAGGTATTTGTCCCTGTCACAGCTGAGCACCCGACCAACGGCAAAACCTGACACCTCTGTCACCCCCTGTTCCCTCTCTTTGTGCTTTGCAGGACGTCCAAGCTGCTGCCCATGCAGGTGGATGGGGAGCCCTGGATGCAGCCATCCTGCACTGTGAGTCCCCGGGGAGGGAGCAGGAAGCAGGGGTGGGCAGGGGCTAGCAGGATGTTGGGATGGGGCAGCAGGTGCTGGCAGGAGGGGGCAGGAGGGGCTGGCAGGATGGTGGGATTGGACAGCCTTGCCTCCTGGCAGCAAAGCCTCTGAATTTGAAGGAAGGCTCCTACATATGCTGGCTGGTGGCCACAGAGCCCAACCAGCTGTGACTGTGCCCATGAAGGCCCTGGACTCATGACAAGCCATGGTGGGAGCTGTGGGGACAGGGTCCCCCTCATCCCTTCCTGGGTCAGTGGACACAGGGGCATCCCTTCCTGGGGGAGCTGCAGTGGCATCCCCCACCATTCAGCAGGCAGCTTGCCCAGAGGATAAATCCTCTCCCATCCCACCACTGCCTGGATGTGATTCCAGAGCTCTTTGCCCCAGTGCTGGGTGCTGAGCTGCTCCCAGCTTGCTGGGGTCACTCCCCAGGGTCCTGGGGCTGGGGGATGCCCTGGAGGGCTCAGAGCCCAGGACTGAGCTGGGTTTTGCCACTTCTTTTTAGGTCAAAATTACACATAAAAGCCAGGTGCCAATGCTGCTGGGCCCGCCCCAGAAGAGCAGCTTCTTTTTCCTGAGGAGGAGAAGCCGAACTCGGGATTAAACAGTATCCAAGGAGCCATAGCCTGGAGGTTTCTGGCATTCCAGCCACCGCCTGCTGCAGGGGGTCCCCAAATCCCAATTCTGCTGCTGGGACAGAAACTCCCCCTCCAAACCCAGCAGGGATTATTTATCCTGGGAGGATCTTGGAGGCTCCTTCCCAACCACCTCAAGCATCTTCTCCATCTGGGATGGAAACAGTGGGTGAAGGCAGACTGGCATACAGGGAGCACATTTGCTGGAGCAGCACTAGGACTGGGATTTTTTTTTTCCCTTTATTTAAATACCCCCCAGCCGAGCTGCGAGTGAACATGTTCCTGAGGCAATGCCAAGCTCCACTTATTTATTTTTCACCCTCCTGAAGGCCATTGGATGTCTTGCTGTACTGGCTCTCTGTCCTCCAACCCTTGCAATGGGAGGATTATTTATTTCCTTAAACTAGAGGAGCCGTCTCAGCCACTCACCTCTCTGCTGTGGGGTTTAAGAGAGATGCAAAGAGCCATTGGTGCCAGCCTTGTGAGCCACAAGGCATGGGACAGGCTGGGGACTGACCGTGCACAGGGACAACTGTGGGGTGGATGGGGGGAGACTGTTTTGATGGGGAAATGGCAAAAAAAGGAATTTTGGGGGGAGCTGCCAATCCTGGGAAACCCCTGTGCCCCAGCTCTGGGCTTCATGTTCATATTTATGTATTTATTTAGCAAACTTTGGTGGAACTTTGGGGGGTCACCTTTTTATGAGCCCAGGTTGGACACAGATACCACCCCCCTTCTCTGCTGACTGTCCACCATGGCACCTCCTTCCACATGGACTTTCCTCTCTCCTAAAGCCTGCCAGCCAGCACCAGGGGCTGGGGACCCTGGGGAGAGACATACAGCAGCTCTTCTCACTTGGAGGTGTCCTTGCTACTTTTCGACACATCTGCCCATGTGCTTCATCAGGCTGGTGCTTTTCCAGTGCAACCAGTGCTGCCTCTGATGCTCCTGGATGGCTGCAGGGAGCAGGGGAGAGCAGAGCAGTTGCACCTCAGTTTCTGTGTGGCCCCATCTCCCTGAAACCCACTCCAAACCCAAGGAGTCTCGTGGTTGCTGCTGCCTGCACAGCTGCTGGAGCCCAGCTGGGATGCACGAGCAGGTTTTGCTGATGTCACCCATGGATGGATAGATCATGTGATGCAGCTTCTCCCCAGGATGCACAGGGACCAGAAAACAGATGAATGCATGGAGGCTGTGGGGGTCTGGATGGGCCCCCAGGACTCGGGAGTTGGCAGGACTGGCCCACAGAAAGGGCTGCTGGTTGCTTCTGCAGGCACCCACTGCCTCCAGCAGTGGCCCTGCATGCGGGGCACACCCACATCCTGAATCACCCCTGCTCCCAGGCTGCTCCCTTAGGTCTGGTGGAAGCTGCTTTGCTGCTGTGAGCAAGCCAGGAGCAGTGTGTGCCCCACTGATGTCACCTCTGGCAGGAAAACTGATGCTTGTCTCTACTATGCCCCTGCCACAGAGCTGGGACAAGCCACCCTGTCCTCCCCAGAGTCCTAGTGCCCATCCTGTCCCTCCTGATGCTGCAGGTCCCATTCAATAGCATTCCTCTGGCAGTGCAGAGGGTGCTGCCATTATCATGTTTTGGAGTGAACGGCGAGCTGAAAGGGAGGTGTTCATGACCTGCATACACAGGCACACTTCACCAGCAGTGCATAAATCCACCCTCCTCCTCCTCACCCGAGGTGGCTGTTAATGAGTAGCCAGGTGAAAGCAGTTGGAGCAAGGCCAAACAAAACCCAAGTCCCATGAACCAGCTGCCTCCATTTCCCCAGCCGGTTCCTGAGGGCAGCAGCGCCTCACAGCCCCACACTTGGGGAGGGTGAAAAAACCCACTTCTACCATCTCCAGAGCTTTGCCAGCAAGAGGGCAAGTTTGTTCTGTGGGATGGCAGCAGGCAAGGTCAACAGGTTTGGTTCCATTTCCCACCCAGCCTCAGCCTGGGGTGTTATCCCACTGCCTGCATGGAATCAGCAGTGCTCCTTGCCCCTGGTCACGGTTTGCTGGGCTCGGGGCAAAGAGCAGCACTGGGGTCCCTGCTGTGGTTTGCTGACGGTGGTGGTGGAGCCGGGGGAAGCAAGCCCGTGTGCCCATGGCTCTGGCAGCACCGTGGGCAGGGAATGCTCCTCTGAGCTTAAATCCAGGGGGGAGTGCTCAGCCATGTGTCCTGCAGGGCATGGAGAGCCCAGGGTCACCAGTGAGACAGTGATAGGCCAGCACTGGTCTGCCAGGAGTGGTGGCAGAGACGTTACCTTTGATGGTCAGGGAGAGGTTTCCTGCCACCTGCCCCAGGGGACATGGCTCCTATCTGCTCCCACCCTGCCAAAGGCATGGTTCAATGGGCATGGCAGCTCCCGACCTCCTTAGTCTGAGGATGCAAAGGTCCTCAGCCCAGGAGGGACCCTTCAGTCCAGCTGTCCCTGGCTCCAGGGAGAAATATGCCATGCAGCTGAGGGACACTCGAGGCTCTGAACCCCTCTATTCCCCTCAGCGTCTGCGAGCTCAGCCCAGTTCCCAAGGGCATGGGATGGAACAGGAACTCCAAACAACAGCCCCAGACACAGGTGCCAGTGCTGCACTGGGGGACTCCCGAGAGCTGGGAACTCCATTCCCACAGGAGCCCCAGCCCCCTCCTCCCGCTGTGTGTGTAGCTGTGGTTGCCTGCATGGAATGGTGTCCGTAGCGTAGCGCGTGTTACTGTGTACACCTGGACTGCTGTGGGCTTGCCTCTAATAAAGATGGTGATGAACATCTCGGCTGGTCCTGGGGTGACTGAGGGTGATTCCTGGCTGGACGTGGGGTCCCCACCTTCAGGGACTGAAACAGGTTGTGCCCAATCCAGGGTGCCGGGGCTGAAGGGGTGTTGGCAGCGGCAGCACGATGGAGCGGTGCTCAGTGGGAGCTGCATCCGGCTAAATTTGGAGCCTGTAAATTTTTTATTTTTTTTTTTTTTTCCCCTGAGTGGGCTCTAAATTTAGCAGGCACCCATCTCCAGCCCCCTCCCAGCCTTGGCTCTCCAGGGGCTTTGGCTCTTCCCGAGGCACTCCTGTGACCTCTCACCTGCCTGTCCCACAGTGGCACTCGGCCCCATCATCTCTCCCCGTCCCAGGGGTGCTGAGCAGCCCCTGGACAGCACGTGGCTGCAATCAGCGTGGGTCACACGCTGTGCACCCCCAGCTCTGTGGTGACCCAGCTCATCCCAACAGCCCGCCGTGCTTCCCAGACCGGGTTTTGCCACCCACCCGCCCATGTGTCATCTGCTAATTTTACCTGCGGTGATTTAATCCTGGTTGCCTTCGTGCAGAGGGGAAATGAGAGCACCAGCACCTGCAGAGCCCCCCGGGAGTGGGCTCCGGGCAGCAAGGACACCCAGTGCCCTCTGTGCACTTCCTGCCCCCAGTACACAGGCACCCGGCGGGCGGCGTATCCTGGCAGCCCCCCCGCCATTCCACCCAGGACACCACGGCAGATGAGCTACCTGCCAAGACCAGCATTATCCCTGGGGGGTGGAGTTGGCCCTGAAGGGCTCTGGAAGCTCATCAGTAACCCAACATCGACAGAGGAGCTCCCACCAGCAGCCCAGAGGCACATTGCACAGCTCTCACAGGACAACGACAAGTCCATGACCTGAGGCTGAGGATTTCAAACTGGCCAGGACAGCCCTGTACTGACAGGCTTCCTAACCCCTGGGCAACTTCCCAGGATGCAAGCAGAAGTCTCCTCTCCTTCCTTAGCTGAGAGGAGCAGTTTGTAACTGAGCACTATCCCTTGTTTTTGCCTTCTCCAGCAATAACTTCCCAGTCCACACACAGTCCATTTATCCTGCTGCATCCTCCCTGAGCAGCCACTGGCAGGTCCCCGTGGCAAGTCTTACCACGTTCATTTACAGATGGGGAAACTGATGCACTCAGCATGGAAATGATGCAGTCGGGGCCCTGGCAGGACGCAGCAACACCACTCTATCCTAAACTCATTCCTAAACTTCTGGGACATTTGCAGTCCTGCAAGGGCATATATCCACGAACTCGCTTGGAGGGATTCGTAGCACGGGCAACCCCAAAGCCCCTGCAGATGTGAACTATTTTTCCCATGTCCCTTTCTCTAAGGCAACCCTGGCTCCAGGGTGCCTGCAGAGGAAAGGCTGCCCAAGCAGGCACTCGGGCGTGGGTTAACGCCGGGCTCGAAGGGGGACTCCTGTGACGCCGCCTGGCTGGGGTGACACCACCTCCCAGGAAAGAGGGGGGGATCTCACGGCCTATGCAGAGGGGTCCCCATTGCCCGTGAGGCCTGACGCCCATCCCATTCCTACGGCGTGCAGGTTCCTGGGCACACTGCGCACGAACCAGGTCCCCGCCACGTCGGATCCGGTCCCTTGGGCTGTCCCACCCCCCACCCTACCCCTCCCAAGGCCGCCCGTTAACCCCCCAGCCTCCCCCCTGCAGAAGGTCGCGGCCCCTTTAAATGCCGCGCTGCCCCGGCCCCACCCGCCAGCCTTTTTCCCCTTCTATTTTTTTATGAATGAAAAACGTTCCGGGCGGGGCCAGGCAAATCGCGCCGCGCCCATTGGCCGCTGCCGCCCCCGCCCACTCAGGCGGCGCCCAATGGTGCCGGGCGGAGCAGCGCGCGGGCGGGCGCGGAGCGGCGCTGCAGCCAATCTGGTGGCGCGGGCCGTCGAGCGGCGGCCTCCCATTGGCCGGCGCGGAGGGTAAACAAGCACGCGGGGCGTGGCGCGGCGGAGGCCGCTGGCTCGGGGGCTGCGGGCCGGCGCAGAGCGGCAGCGCGGTGCCCGGGCTCGGAGCGGCGCCGCGCCTTCCCCGGCCCCTGTCCCGGCTCGCCCCGCTGCCGCTGAGCCCGCGGCGGCTGAGTCCGCGGCGCCCGGCCGGGTACGTGAGGGCCCGGCGGCGGGGGCGAGGCGCGGCCCGGGCCTGGGGCGGGGGCGGTGTTTATGAATGGCGCGGGCCGCGCGGTGTGAATGGCGGGGGGCGCGCGCGAGCGAGCGAGCGAGCGCGCGCGCGGGGGAGAGGAGGGGGGGGGAGGCGGAGTTTATGAATGGGGCGCGCGGGGCGGCGTGGGAACGGGCCGGGCTGCGGCGCGGCCCTGCAGCGCTGAGCGCGGTGAGCGGCGGGGGAGGGAACGGGGGAGGGGGGGGGGGGGGGGGGGGGGGGAGGGGGCCAAAGCATGCGGCCCGCCCGCCAACCCCCCCACTGCCTCCGCCCGCCCCCCCCCACTGCCTCCTCCCGCCCGCCCCACTGCCTCCTCCCGCTCCCACGGCGCGTGATGTCACGGCCGTTTCTATAGAAATTAGGTGACATCACGGAGCTGGGGGGCTGCGACCCGCCACGGCAGGAGCGGGCCGGCTCCCCGGGGAGGCGCGGCAGCCCCGCACCGAGCCAGCCCCGGGGGCGGCAGGGGCCGGGGTCTGATCCTGACCCCTTCCACCCCCCAGCCTCGCACCTGCCGGAGCCCAGGCGGGACCCCTCTTCCTGGGCCGGTGTCGATGCTGAGCGGGCCGGGGGCACTGCCCGCCTCCCCCGCGCCATGGACGGCTTCTACGATCAGCAGGTTCCCTTCATGGGCCCCGGGGTAAGTTTGCCCTCCCTGATCCCTCTTGACACCTCCGTTCCCGACCTTGGGGGCACCTCCTCCCCATCCTTGGGAGTACTCCCCTTGTCCTTGGGGGCACCCTGCTCTCCCTGGGGGCACCCTCCAGCCTTGGGGGCTGTCACTCTCATGGGCAGCTGTTGCCCTGGTCGTTGCAGAAGTCCTGTGCAGAGGAGGGCCGAGGCCGGCCGGGGTCCGAGAGGAAAAGGAAATTTTTGGAGACCGACTTGGCCCACGACTCGGAAGGTAGGCAGGGCTGGCCCAGGCGGCCATGGCCTCTCTTGTGCCCCGCCAGACCATTTGCCTCACGTTCGTTGGTTTAGAAATAATCCTGCAAATAATGGCAGTTTTATTTATTCTTCTGTGGAGCACATAAGTCTTTCACTCTGTTCCAGAGCTCTTCCAGGATCTCAGCCAGCTCCAAGAGGCCTGGCTAGCTGAAGGCAAGTGTTCACCTCCACCTTTTGCCATGTAAAGTCTCTCCGTGAGCATTTTTTTTTTCACAACTGAAAAAGCCATAAACCCACTTTTTTGTTTGTTTTTTTTAGCTCAGGTCCCCGATGATGAACAATTTGTCCCAGATTTCCAGTCTGACAACTGTAAGTGATTGTTTTGGGTTTTTGTTCTTCGGGGGGGGGGGGGGGGGGGTTTGGGTGCCTGTGCAAAACTTTGCGCTGGGTTTGGAGTTGCTTCCTTAGGAAAGCAGTTGTTGCTGGGGCAAAAACGTGGAATTGTGGGCTTCTGGGAGAAAGCATGTGCAATTTGGGTTCATCGAGATGAAACTTGCAATGTCCTGTCTTTTGTAAATGGGGAAAATCACACATGGTAATCTCTCTGACTGATCTCTGGGCTCCTCTGAGACAAGCTGCTTGTTCGTAGTAAGGTGGATTTGCTTCTAAACGCTCCTTTTCCATTCCAAGTGCAAGCGAGAGCCCGTGCTGGGCTCCTTGGTTAGCCACAATCTCTGCAGTTTCTGGAGCTTTTTACAGTCCTGGCCCAGCGCTGCTGGCAAGAGTGGGCCTGAGTGGTGAAACTTGAGCCGCTTTAAGCAGCATTAATCACTGGCAAGCGAGCGTGTTTAAAAGGAGGCCAGCGAAAATGCAGTCCCTCGTGAATTGCATAAGAGCGAGTGTTGGTTCTGAGCCGCGGTGCGCTGCTGGAGCGGGTTAGCGGCGAGGGCAGGGGCCGGCGAATGGCGTGTGGGGCTTGCGCAGCTCCGGGGGCGCTGCTCTCCGGACGTCTGAGGGTCGCTTGGAGGGGAAGGGGCGGGGGTGGGGGGGGGGGTGGAATCAGGATGTTTTGATTCGTTACCTGGCAAACACAAGTAGTAGCTTGGTGTTGGTGGCTGGGTTTTGCTGCTGAGCCAGACAGCTACGGAACTTAAAGGAAATCAAATTTAGCCTGCAGTCGAACAGATTTTTCGTTCCGGCTTTGTCACAGCATGCAGCGGGGTATCTCCTCCGACAGCAAATGCATGTTAATTATTGCTCTTTGATTACTTCGGAGTGGGAAGCTTGCCATTAAGCTGTTCCAGACAGCCCAAGTTTCAGATGTGCTTTTTTCCCTGTCTCCCCTGAGATAAAAGGCGAGCCTGGAGTCAGGAACACAACGGGCTGTTGACATCCCGAGCACAGCCCGGCAGCTCTCGCTCGGAGCGGTAGAAACTGCAGTGTGCGTGGGAGGGTGGCTCTTGGAGCTGGAGCTGTTTCCAGTGCCTTTTGGCAGTCTCTTGTTTCCTTGTAACCTGAAGAGCTTAGGGAGGAGAGACAAACTTTTCTGGGTGATGCAGGGAAAAGAGGGGAAAAATAAAAAGGCGTTTGGTCAGGACTCTTAAGATGTTTTGACCTGCACAGCCCGCAGACCTGGTGTTGAAACGAGTTTGTCACTTGAAAAGAGATCTGCCTGCATGACTCCCCACTGCAATAACCTTCCTTAACTTTCCTGAGGAAAGAAAGCAAAGGTTTCCTTCGCTGCTGCTGTGTTGGCTTTGAGGGGGCTCAGACTCAGGTGGAGGGGAATGGGGAGCCTGGCTCTTCCATCCCTGCACTGGAGAGATTTTAAAGAGGAGAGAAACTGCAGTTTACAGCTCTCTGACCCTATTTTCTCATTTCACTCCGTTTTTGAACCCTGTGCCATGTAGAAAGGAAGAGAGGGATGGCTCCAGTGCAGCTCCTTCCTGCACCTGGCTTTCACTAATGGAGATGGGCTGCTTTCCTGGTCACATTGGGGTTCAGTGTCCTTTAGCTCCCAGGGGAAGGTAAATCCCTCCTTAGTCCCTACAGATGTTTGTGGGCATGCCTTGGACTCTGTTACTGCAGTCGTGTGCCTTTTCACTGAGGAAGCTACTGCTCTCTTATCCTGAGCAAACTTCCATCTCCTGCCCCATCGTGCATTCCCAGGGCCAAGCTTTCTTGGCACAGCAGCAAAAAGGGACAAACCAGGCTCAGTTTGCACCCCACTGCAATGGGGGGATCATGCACTGCCACATGTGCTGTCTGGAGTCTTGGAGATGCTCAGAACTGCAACATCCTTCTTGCCTTGCTAAAACCCTCTCATAGCTGCCTGCAGCTCCACTGCTTCCTACTTGCTGTTCCCAATTCCATAGCCGAGATCCTCTGCAGAGAGGGGCTTAAAGTTGGGGCTTGGGAGCAAAATAACATGCTGGAGGGCAGTGGATTGCTGTGCTGGGGAGGAAATCCCACTGTAGAGAAAGCAGGGCTGCTCTGAATGAGGGATGTTTTGTTCTTAGCACCCTGGACTGAGCAGCAAGAGGCCTGATTCAGTGCTTATAAGTTGAACAGGGAAGTGGTGGATCCTCCTGGGAAGGCAAGGAGGCCACGGGTAACTCCACAGAGCTCGCCACGCTGGCCATCGTGCTGCATCCCTGGCCAGGCATAGGTGTGGGTTCACCAGCAGTGTGGTCCTGGGGAGAAGGGTGTATGTACAGTGTTATACCTCCATCGGTTGTTTATATACCTGAGAAGCGATGGAATCATTCTGAGGAGATCAAGCATCACAGGAGATGGTTTGTTCCCCAGGTACTTGTGGCCTCCCTGCATGGGAGGCACGTGGCAAAAGCCACGGGCAGGACACGGAGTGGGTTTTCTTAGACACCAAAATGAAAGCAGGAGGTTTGTTTGTGAGGAAGAGTCGTTTAAACAAAGGAAAACAGGAGCCCGGCTTCTATTTCTGGCTTCTCTCCTGGTGTGACCTTGGGTGCGTCCTGTAGTGTCTGGAGATGGAGGGGCAGGCGCCGAGCTCAGCTCCCAGGTGACAGCTTGAGCAGGTGCCAAGGTCCCTGCGCTGGGAGTGGTGGTTTAGTCCCCTTCCCCTTGCTTTGGACAGTGGGTGCCACTGGCAAAGCCAGCGTCCTCCAGGCTCGGCGTTTTGGAGGTCCATTTATGCTGGTGGGCGGGAACAACCTGCCCGGTCTCTCACCAAGGGATTCACTGGGAATTCAAGGCCTGGAGTGGCTTTGGGGTGTCACACTTTTCCATGGGAGACCTCTTCGCTGATGGTTGGCATGGTTGGCATTTGGGACATCTACAGCTTGACTGGTTATAAGGCACTGTGATGGTTTGCCTGAGCCTCCCCCACTTTCCCTTCCTACCTGGGCACAGCAGTGGCACGTGTAGCTGGTCCCTTGCCCAGCCTCCCTGGGATCCTTTCACCCCTAGGGGCTAAAGCAGACCAGAGAGGGGCTGTCAGGCACCCACAGGCACTCTCGCTGCTCCCATGGCTTAGCCCTGGCATGGATCTGCCGAGGCACGTTCTCCAGCCCCATCTGTAGTTGAGCTGCTCCCTCTGCCTATTTTTATGTATTTTTTTAGCTTTAAATTATAGTGCCGAGGGCAGGACCGGAAAGGGTAAAAGTGCTCATGCATCCTTTGAGGCACTGGGTGCTGGGGCAGGGCTCTCCTTCCCAGGGAACCCTCCAGCCTGGCTGCTCACTGCTGGGATCCAAACCCAGCACCTTCCCCGCAAAAGCTGCGCCACCAGCCTTGGTGCCCCCTCAGCTCCTGCAGCCTCGTCAGCCACGAGCTGGGCATCAGGGAGTGCCTGAGCTGGGCATCAGGGAGTGCCTGAGCTGGGCATCAGGAGTTCCTCGCAGGAGCAGCCCCGGCCAGCCCTGCAGTGTTTGTGTAAGGAATCCAAACGTTGCACGGAGTCCGGGCTTGGACAGCTGGTCTCTGTTAGGATCTTAAGGCTCATTTCCCTTTTTTTTTGAATGGCAGAGCTAAGCTCTGGGGAAATTTTTCCTTTCTTTTTTTTTTTTTTTTTTTCCCTTCCCTCAGCCACATGAATGGAGCGCTCCGAAGTGTTTGTGAATGGAGGGTGGTGCCTGCTCAGGGACTGGAGGGTTTTTTTTTCAATGAATAACCAGACCCCATTGTACGACTGGCGGAAAAACAACCCGCTCCAACAACACGGAGCCTGTTTGGGAGAACCATGCCCGCAATAGGCAGCTGGAGCCCTTCCAAAGCCAGTTCCCCTTTGCTTTCCCGTGGCTCGTGGGGCGCCTGGACTTTGCCGCCGCCGTGCCGGCCCCCTGTTAAGGCTGGAAATGCTGAGAGCGGCAAAACCTCGCTGGGGAGGGGGGAAGGAGGAGGAGTGGGATAAATCCGGCTTGGGAGCCAGTGGAAGGCGTGTGGGGGGCTGTGCTGGCTCAGCGCTGGGCTTTGTGTTTCAAATCCTTCTCGGGGGGTTTTATGCCCTCGGTACCAGCTGTGCTGGGCCCTTGCGAGGAAGGGGGACGGGTAGAGAGGGAAGTCAGCAGCTCTTTAAAGGTTTTGACAAATTAGGGGAGCAGCTAATTACCTGGCAAGCTGTGAACAGTTGTCCTGGAGCTACTCCTCTCCGCTGTAGCTGGGCTGTGTTTAGGCTTTGCATGAAGCTAATACTCCACTTCCGATTAGTCTTGGCTCTCCTCTGAGGCACTATTTAGGTGCAGATCTCTGAGGCGCTTTCCCTTTCCTAGAGCGCCTGCTTTTAGAAATTAATTAGCTTAAGCGTATATTATTCAGTTTATAATTATATATAGTAAGTGGGCTTGGGAGTGGGTAGTGAGGATTTGGGTTTAATGGGATGTTTGTCACTTGAGCTCATACAATTGTGGGACCCTGGGAGAGGGTCCGCTTGGAGCACCTTGGCTGGGGGAAGGTGGATCCTGTTTACTGACCCTCTGGAAGATGGGTATGCCCCTGTGAGGACAAGTGGGTTGCTGTGTTCTGTTTATGAGCTCTTGGAGCTCCAGTCTGTCAAGCCCCTGCATTCCTTGCTCCACGGCTTGGGGGAGCAGCCGCTGCCTGTGGTGCCTGGGCTTGACTCCACTTGCTGAGGGGCTCTGGCCACGGCACGTGTCTCATCCGTGGCTGTTCCCCTTTCACAGCCCTTGCTCTGCCCCTCTTGGATCCCAATGGCGAAGAACTCCCTCTCTATGAGCAATGTCCTGGGCTGCTGTGACTGTCCCAGTTCTGCCCTCCCCTGCCACCCCAGCTCACTCCACTGCCAATGTTGGGCTCAGCCGGGGCACCCTCCTGCCCTGGTTCAGTTGTCTGATGCTCCTGGGGCATAATTCAGCACCTGATTCCCAAGCAAAGAGCACCGAAGCAGATGCTCCCGGGGGTGATGTCCCCATTGCTCTCTCCGATGTGTATCCTCCTTGTTCCCCTTGCAGTGGTCCTGCACGCCCCACCTCCGGCAAAGATCAAGCGGGAGCTGCCCAGCCCGTCCTCGGAGCTGTCATCCTGCAGCCACGAGCAGGCTCTCTGTGCTGGCTATGGGGACAAGTGCCTCTACAACTGTTGGTAGGTAGCGCAGGGACAAGCCGCAGACCCCTCAGGGACTCCCTGTCACGCGGGGCGGTGTCCCCGTTGGTGTCTCCCTCAGCCCCTGGCCCATCTCCTTTGGCAGTGCCTATGACAGGAAACCCCCCGCCGGGTTCAAGCCATTAACGCCGCCCGCCACGCCGGTGTCCCCCGCGCACCCTGGATCGGCCCTGCCACCACCGCCGCCACCACCGGCCCCGGCCGTGCCGGCCGCTGCCCACGGGGCGGCCCCGGCCCCGCACGCGCTGCAGGAGCAGCGGCAGCAGCAGCAGCAGCCCTTTGCTGTGCCACGGCCACCACACCCGCCCATGCACATGCCAAAGATGATGTCTGAGAACCAATACCCCACAGAGCACAGGTAAGGTGTTCCCCACCCCAGCAACTGCTGGGGGGGGGGTTATGAGGACTCTTAGGGTGGGTCAGTGACCCCAAAGCGTGGGGAAGGAGGAGGGATGCCTGTCCCTTTGTCCCCATGCTGCGATTGCAGACGGTGGGCCAAATGTTGCTGCCTGGGGTCCCATGTGGCAAAACTTGCTACTTCCTACTGGGATCTTGCAGCTCTTTCTCCTGCTAATGGGGAAACCTCTCCTCCCAGCCCCTGGAACACCAGGCAGAGCCTTTGCCTCCCCCTCCGGAAAGGTGAGAGAGGCAGAGGCTGCCTCCTGCATCCATCCCTGTGCCAACAGGTGATGGTGCTGAGCCAGGGCTCTGCTCTCCTCATTCCCATCCACTGCAGCTCTGCCTCCAAGCCGAGCCCTGCCGGGCTGGGGAGCTGTGACCTTTCCTGTCCTGTCCCTGTGCACTGCTAGGGTGGGGGTTGGTCCTGAGCTCCCTTTTGTATCTCATTGCATTACCATGATTTTGGGGGCTGTGGAAGGAGACCCCTGCTCCCTCCTTCCTCTTCAAGCTGTGGCTTCATCCCCCATCTTCATCCCTGTCCCTGGACACTTTTCCAGTCCTCAACCTCACCATGGGTTTGCTCCCAAGGGTGCTCTCAGTAGGTGCCACAGTGCAGGTCACAGAAGACCTCTGCCTTTGCTTTTGGCCTCTGGATGCCCTTTGCTGTGACAGCCACTCTGTCACCCCTGTGGTCATGGGGCTAGATGTGGCAGCCTGGCCAAGACCATGCAGTGGGGCCATGGAAACCCTTGGAAAGTGCCCACAGCAGGTGAACATCCCTCCCCAGCAAAGCGGAGCTCTGGGTGACCTTTGAGCTATGCGGGGGGCTGGCTGCGACCCCTTGGGAAGCACCGTGCCAGCGTGGGGCTTGGGTTTCATTCAGGAAGGGCAGAGGGACATGGCTCGGAAATGGAGTAATCCCAGCCCGGCAGCTGGGAGAGCTCCGGTTACAAAGCCAAATGGTGCGAGGCCGGCCGAGAGGAGCCAGCACGGAGATCCCAGATCGCCTTTCAAGGTGCCGGAGGACGGGGGGATGCGGCAGCACACCCTCGAGATGGTCCCTCATCCACTGCCACCAGCAGAGATCGTGCTGGGGCTCAGACCAGTGGTGGCAGCACCCTGGAGCTGAAAATAGTGCTCTCTGCTGTTGAGTTCAAGGTTTAATCCCGGCTGCGCAGGCGGATTAGCAGCCGGCTGGAGTTGCAGAGTGGATTTGGCTTTGCGTAAGCGCCCACCCATGCGCAGCATCCCCGGGCCCTGCAGTGCTGCCCCCCACCCTGGGGCCAGATTTTACTGGTTTACAGCATTAGGACTGTTGCGAGCTGGTTTTTTGGTTCCTTTTCTCACTCCTTTCCAGATATCTGAAGCCCAGAGTGCTTTTCTGTGATGGCCCATGTGCTATCCTGCCCTTTCAGCATGGGGTGCCCAGTGCTTGGAAGGGGATGGGGCTCCTCAGCACCCCACTGGGTCCCCATGGGATTAGCCCCTGTGGTGGCCATGCTCTTGAGGAACCATCCCAGCCTGCTGTGGGTGCACCCTGGGAGCACCCGAAGCTGAAGACACCCAACTGTCATGTAGTCCTGGTCCGGGACGGAAACTGGCAGCAGGGCTCATCCCCACTCTGCAGTAATGCCGTGTCCTTTCCCCCAGGTTTCAGAGGCAGCTGTCTGAGCCCTGCCACCCCTTTCCACCACAGCCCGGGGTCCCAGGGGACAGCCGCCCCGTCTACCACCGGCAGCTGTCGGAGCCCCTGGGCCCGGCTGCCCCCCGCCCCCCTCAGGGATTCAAGCAGGAGTACCATGACCCGCTCTACGAGCCCAGTGGCCCCAGCCTGCCTGGCCCCCCTGGCCACGGCTTCCAGCCCCCCATGGGCATCAAGCAGGAGCCCCGGGACTACTGCATTGACTCAGGTGGGTATGAGTTGGGGGGTGGCCAGGTGCTGGGTGGTGTTACACCACTGACACCCAGAGGAGCAGAGCATCTCCTCCATCAGCGTGGTGGGTTCAGGGTTGAGCCTCAGGCAGTGGGTGCTGGAGTTCCCATAGTGCTGGGATACTGCTTTGCCTTTTTCTTTCCTCTCTCTCCTCCTCCCTTTCCAAAGCCAGGGAATAGAGCAGGCATTCACCCAATGCTGCGTGGTGTGGTCGGTGCCATAGCCATGGGCTGGGGTGCCCCACGGCACCCAGCGGGTCCCCCCGCAGCCCTGGCCTGGGGCTAGCTGTGATTGCTGGCTGCTGGACCCCACCAGCATCACGGAAAAATCCTCTAATCGCCTTAGGACCTAAAAATATCCCAACCTCGGGATGGAGGGTGGCACAGCCGAGCAGATGGCAGGGGAGGCGCGGTGGTGCTTCCCTTCCTGTGGGGCCTGTGAGAACCTGAGCTGACTTAGCCTTTGCTCCAGTGTTCATTGCAGTGCCACCTCAAGTCACACTGGGTTTTTCCCCAATGTTGAGGGTGGATGCAGGGGACCGGGGAGGGGGGGAGATGCCCGGACTTTGCCGCAGGACGTGCTTGGGGTGGAAATATGCTGCCAAATGCTTGGTGGGACCCACGGGATTTACATCCTTAATGTCACCTTCATCTCTCTCACAGAAGTGCCTAACTGCCAGTCCTCGTACCTACGGGGGAATGTCTTCCCCAGCAGCCATGACGGTGAGTGACCTCCCCCATTCTCCCCCTGTTCATTTCATCCCTGGCGGGTCCCATCCCATCCCTCTTTTGGGGCAGGAGGTACCTTCCAGGAGGCCAACAGAGCTTCTGGTCACCCTGAAAACACCCACAAGAGCACAGTGGTGCCTGTGAGAGCCGCATGCACTGGCACCAGCACTACAGGCAGCCAGCAGCCCCTGCGCGTGTGCCACAAGGGCACGGCAGCGCCGTGTAATCTGGGATAATATGCCTGATATAGCTGCTAAGAGGGTTTTGGTTCTGCCAGCTCCCCGGAGTGAGGGGGGGCAGAGCTGCACAGACACTGAAATAACTGGGGTTGAGTCTGCTGCTGGAGCTGGGGATATAGGGTCTTGTGCTGGGTTGGGCCAAGCCCGGGTTTGTCAAGCCACCAGAGTGGTTGAGACACTGTGCTCACTGAGGGTCTTTTCCCCATAGGATTTTCATATGAAAAGGACACACGATTGTATTTTGATGACACGTGCGTGGTACCGGAGAGGCTGGAGGGTAAGAGAGTCTGACCCCAGAGGAGGCCTGCAGGGGGACCAGGGCTCATGGAGGGAGATGTGGAGATGCTGGGATCCGCAGTGTCTGGCTTTTAAAGCCAAGCAGTGCTGTTACGGTGCTCTCACGAGCTGCTGAGCACCATCCCACACAGCAGCTTGGCAAAGTCGCTGTCCCTGCCACCTTCCTGCCTGCAGCACCTCTTCCCTCTCCCACCCCATGGCCTGATCCTGCTCAGCTGTCTCACCACAGGGATGACCTCAGTGTTGCTGTACATGTCTGTTGCTGGTGACACAGCCTGGGAGAGGGGCAGAGCCAGGGTGTTCAACCAGGTGTCTCTGTGCGGGCAGGTAAAGTGAAGCAGGAGCCCACCCTGTACCGCGAGGGCCCTCCTTACCAGCGGCGTGGGTCCCTGCAGCTCTGGCAGTTCCTCGTCACCCTCCTGGATGACCCTGCCAATGCCCACTTCATCGCGTGGACTGGCCGGGGCATGGAGTTCAAGCTGATCGAGCCTGAGGAGGTACGAGAGGTGGTCCTGCCCTCAGGCTGGGGAGTGGCCGTGGGGGATGCAGGAGAGGGCTGGATCCTTCCCATGCAACAGCGTGTTCACGCTTGCACTTGAAGCGAGACGCGTGTCTTTACTCTCCAGGTAGCTGTAGAAATTTACCTTTAATCTCTTCCACTTCCTCTTGGCGTGGCATGTGCCAGCCCCCGAAGCTGCAAGTGGTCACCGGATGCAGTGGCATTGCCGCTGTGCTGTGCCTTGCCGAGACCTGCTGCTGCACCAAGGCTCCCTCCTTCCCAAACTGCTCCCATCCTTTGCCCTGGGTTCCCAGCAGCGGCTCCGTGCTGGCGTGCTGCCGTGCTGGAGCCGTGTGGCTCTGCGGGAGGGTGACACAGAGGAAGAAGCTGTTTGGGGAGTAATTGAAAGCAGCTGTAGCAAGCACAGAGCTGTGCATTGTGGGTAATTACCCATAATGTCTCTTATGCCACGCATGGAAATTGTGGTTTTTTGAAGCAGCTTTTTTGGCAGGCTCCCCCTAATCAAATGGCTTTTGATTCGGCTCCCGGTTTGGCGGTGGCTGCATGGTCGCAGCTGGAGTGTATATAATGGCAGGCGGGGCACCACTCCTGGACCGTGGTGATGCCTTCACCCCCGGCTGCATCAGCCCTCTGAAACGAGCCCCTTTTCATTTCTGTTGTGATTTCACGTGAGGATCCATGTCCCAAGCCCTCACTGGAGCCCTGACTGCTGCCACCTCTCTCCCCGCAGGTAGCGCGGCGCTGGGGCATCCAGAAGAACCGGCCAGCCATGAACTACGACAAGCTCAGCCGCTCCCTGCGCTACTACTATGAGAAAGGCATCATGCAGAAGGTGAGTAACCCCACCTGCCACCCCACAACTGTCCCCCACTGTCACTGTGGCATCCCAAGGGGCAGCAGGAGGGGGGTTAGCGCTGGTGTCAGGTGTGCAGCGCTTCCCCGGGGCAGGGTGAAAGTTCAGGGCACCTCTCACACCCTCCCTCCCTCCTCCTCCTCACAGGTTGCCGGTGAGCGGTACGTCTATAAATTCGTCTGTGACCCCGACGCCCTCTTTTCCATGGCCTATCCCGACAACCAGCGCCCTTTCCTGAAGACAGAGCCCGACTGCCCGGTGCCAGAGGAGGAGACAGTGCCGCTGACGCACTTCGAGGACAGCCCAGCATTCCTTCTGGAGATGGATCCCTGTGGCAGCCTTCCCTATGCAGAGGGCTTCGCCTACTGACTCGGCCGGCCGGCAGAGCCATTGGCACTAGCGCATCCACCTGGGGCAAACATTGTTTTCTAAAAAATATTTTTGGCTGTTCATAAGGAAAAAAAAAAAAAGCACCCAACGACAAACCGCGTGGGTGCACACACAAATTGGAGGGATCTAAAACACCCCGCGTGTGTCACCGATGAATTCCCACCCTTCCTGTCCAAGGGCTAGTGCACAGGACTTGCCCGTGGCCGGCACCTCCTGCCACACATCAGCGTGATGTTTTGGGGCGCCGGGAGCCTAAAGCTGCAGTGTCTGCCCCAGGCTCTGGCTCTGGCAGTGCCCCAGGACTGGGCTGCGTGGCCGCCGAGCCAATTGTCACGACAATCTGCTTTGCATCGAGCACAATCCGCGTAGCTGCCTTGTGTGGTGGAAAGGGCTTTGATTTGCACAGAGAGGAGGGATGCAGGGGGGCTGCCTTGGCCAGCACCCCAGAGCTGATGTGTGCAGCATCCTACCCCAACCCTGAGAAGCCTTCTGCCTTCTTCCCGAACCCCCCTCCTCATATAACCTGTTGTTCCCATATAATCCACTGCATCCTCTCCGTGTCCCCTTCGATCCTCCTCAGCTCTGGCTGCAGCCCATGGGTTGCATTTTAGGGGAGGAGACCCTGACACTAATTCCCTCCTTGTTTTGGTTTTTTTTTTTTGTTTTTGGGGTTTTTTTTGATGTTTTAGGAAAATAAGAAAGGTTTCTAAACTGATTTTTGTAGATTTTTTGTATTTTAAGGCAAAGCTATTTTTTGCAGCCCGGCTGCTGTTCCCGGAGCCCCTGGAGACACCCCCATGGCTTTCCCGGTGGCACGCTTGCAAGGGCAGCCCTCAATGCCTGTGGCTCCCTGGGATGGCTGCCGAAGGATCTAGTCCACTCCATTTCACTGCTCCAGTCCTCTTTCCCGGGGAGCCGGGACTGAACCCCGGTGTCGGCTCAGCTGCGCTCCCCCCGCTCGGCATGGCCTCGGAGCTGGGCTGTAAGGCTGAGGTGGGCAGGGATGGGGGGTCCCCCACCCCCCTTCCTGGGTACCCCACTTCTCTCCAGCTCCCCCCTCCCCGCTGCACCTCCTAACACTCATCCACCACTCGTATATCCATACCTGCCTCCCCCGCACCAGGCTACATGTTTTCATTGTAAATGCTGTATAGGAATTTTTTTCTCTTCTTTAGTTAGCTTCGGTTGGAATTTTTTGGGGTTTGTTTGGTTTTGGTTTTTTTGGTTTTTTTTTTTTGTCTGATTCATTCTTTTTTGGGGAAGTATGAAGATTAACTCACGAAGACTCGGTTACTCTCCCCATGGGGGCTGCAGTGACCTGTACCCATGGGGAGCATTCGGTTTTTGGGAACCCCACCTTGGGGACAGGGTTTTAACCATTTGCTCGGTGTGGCAGGTCTGCAGTGCAGAAGGGGTTAATCTGAGGACTGATTTGAAATCTCTTTACTCAAGCAGGGCTATGTATCTCCTGCAAAGCTGCATTACATTCTGTACTGTGTACAATAAAGGATCTTGCTTCATGTTCCTCCCAGGCTACCTGGGCTCCTGCTTTGCCTGCACTATGGGATGCTTCCTGGACTGGGAGGGAGCCTCTGGGTGTGCTTGTGGAATCTGAAGTGGTCTAGAGTACAGGCCATCACTTGGGGCCTGCAGGGCTGTGTGCCTGGAGCTGGGACTGGGTCAGCAGGGCTGCTCTCATCCCAGTTCTGGGCTTGTTGCTTCTGGATCTGGATGCTGCCATGGCTTTCACAAAGCTGCATCCAGTGAGAGGATCCATTTGGAATGGGGGTGGCTTCTTCCCAGTGAGGTGCAATTTAATATTGCTTCTTTCCCAGGGTTTCTCCATTAGCGGGTCCTTCCCTTTCCCCAGGGAACCCAAACCTCTGCCATCAGGCAGTACTAAAGCTGATGGGGACCTCTTAGGGAAGCCCCTCCTGGAGTTCCTGGTAGCAGTCCCCCAGCACCTTATAGCTCCATTTCTAGGCTAGAAAAAATCCAGGGTTTGCAAAAAGCTGAAGAAGGTGGGTGGAGGGCAAGGGCTTCTCCGTGGTTTCAGTTAAAGGGTCTGTGTTTCCCCTGATGTGCTGAAGAAAAACTCAAACACCCCAGAACTGCCCAGTCCCGTTGGCCTCAATTTTAGCTGGGCTAAGCCAGGGTGTCCACTGGCTCCCAGCCCATCCTGTGCAGGGTGACGGGCTGATGCTGTTGGAGATGCTCTGACAGCTCTTCTCTTGCAGGTTTTCATTGCCCAGCCAACCCCCATCCTTAGACATGGCAGTGGAGAGATGGAAGGTCGTTATAGAATCATAGAATCATAGAGTCAGCTGGGTTGGAAGGGACCTCAGAGATCATCAAGTCCAACCCTTGATCCACTACCACTGCAGTTGCTAGACCATGGCACTGATGCCACATCCAGTCTCTTTTTAAAAATCTCCAGGGACGGAGAATCCATCACTTCCCTGGGCAGCCCATTCCAATGTCTGACCACCCTCTCTGTAAAGAAATTCTTTCTAATATCTAACCTAAACCTCCCCTGGCACAACTTGAGACCGTGCCCTCTTGTCTTGCTGATCATTGCCTGGGAAAAGAGACCAACCCCCACCTGGCTACAACCTCCTTTCAGGTAGTTGGCATTATGTGCCATGATGCTCTTTATAGACCTCGCCTAGATCCGCTCCTGGCCATCAGCCACATGGTCCTTGAGCGTCTCTTCTTCCATTGTGCCTAAAGTATTAAGCTGAGCAGAAAACTGTGGCTGTCTCCCAGCCCTGGCAGAGCAAAACAGGATCTCAAACACCCAGCAAAACCAATTCATCTGGCCTGAAGCCTTCCAGGAGCTAAATCAGCTGCTCAGCCCCAGGAGACACCTCCTTCCACTCCCTAGGGAGCTCCATGCCAGGCTCTCAACCCTATCCCATTTTTATTTTCCACAAAGCTCTGTCCTCTGCCCAAGACTGAAAAACCCAGGTGATCTGAGCTCCAGACAGCGCCTGGTAATCCCACCTTCGATGGGGATTTTAGCAGACTGAGTCCTGGTGCTCAGGATGGAGGAAGGGGAAAATGGGGCCACCGGCAGCCCAGCCGGCAGGCAGATGGCTCAGGGAGACAGGACCTCGACCTGGTGCACGGCAAATGTGTGGGACCAGTTATGGGTGGTGAGGATGAGCAGATAAGGCAAAGCCTTCATCAAGCATTTTGTCACACCACAACCCTGACCCCAACCCTGCAAATCCTGCTGTGGGCAGGGCTGTGGGCCCAAGGGCTTTGCTCTTGCAGAAGGAAGAGGATAGGAGATGAGATGTTTTTCTATTTCAGCCTGTCAGCGTGGGACAAAAGAGCTCAGGCCCCAAAGGTATTGATACCACACTGGCTTTTATGTACTTAGGACACCAAGAATTTGCTCCTGCTGCACATCGTATCTCACTCTCTTCACACTCCATGCAGATGGAGTGGAGCTGCCTTGGGTGCATGGTCCCATTCATCCCCACCGCGAGGGTGAGGGACAAGCCACAGCTGCTCAATGACCTGCCTGCAGCCTCCCAGGGGTGGGGACAAGAGCTCCCAGGCAGTGCAGGGGCTGCACTAGCATTTGTCAGGAGTTGAGGAGATGGAGGGGAAACAGGTGGGAAAGCTTCCCTGCTCCCTGCACACCTCCTGCCCCGTCAGGTGCTGCCCCCAGGCACAGGGATGTGCCCTCCTCAATGCTTCAATGTGCGGTGGAGTGGGGAACCAGACTGGGAAGCACTGCCAAAGGTACCACCACTTCCTTCTAGGACCAGGAACAGCTGGGGCCACCACTGCTCCATCCCCAGGATCAGCCACTTTGGTCCTCTCCTCACCCACCCCAGCACTGTCTGCCTCCTGCCTTCCTCCCACTCCTCCCGGCTGCTGGGGAGGATGAAGAGGAGCGAGTAGAGAGGATGGTGAAGGATGAGGCAGCATTTGGGGGAGGATTCCAGCCATCCAGACTGGGCAAAACCCTGGTGCTGGTGTGCAACCCTGTCTCCAACCCTCTAGCTCACAGCTTCCACCTCTGTGTGGTCCATGTGGTGACAAGCCCATCGGCGATTGAGGGTGAACAACGATCTGTGACACCGTGTAAGAAGACAATAAAATGGCAGCTGGTACTGAATGAGGACACACGTGGGTTTTTTTATTTTCTTCTCTTCACAGTCTTACAACGTGCCCCAAGTTATCCCCTCCCTGGAATGAGAGCTCAGAGTTACCAGATAGTCCGAGAGCTGTTTGAATGAGAGGCGCAGGTTAAAAATCATTTGGAGAAGAGGAGCCTATGAAAGGGAGAACATCATTATGACCCTCCACACATCCATAATTCACGGAGTACATTTCTGCTCTCCCTGTCTCAGAAGCATATAGCTGGACTGGAAAACATTCAAAAAGCAACGGAGACAGCCAAAGGTCTGCTATGGCTCTTACACGGGAGTGTATAAATAGTCTGGCACTTCCGACTGGTGCAGGATTTGTGGCTCAGGGACTTCATATTTAATAGCCCATGATGGAGTTTTCCATCACTGACTGGAAGAGCATTTTTGGGAAGAATTACTGCCCACGCAGTTTGTTCTTATGGCAGGACTGACAAGCCCATGTGGTCCCCCACGGGCAGCGAGACACAGCTCCTACTGGGCCCATGTCACGCTGACCATCGTGGTGGCCTTGTGCCTGTGCTTTGCAACTGGTGCTACCAGGGAGGTGGGTCATGTCACAGCAACTCCTCTTTTCCCCAGCTCTTCAAACACTTGATGTTTTCAATAAGTGGGCTAATTTGGCTCTTAAATACCTGGAGCAACATGAGTGGCTGCTTGTGTGAAGCCAGCTTCAATTCGGGTTTGGGCTGGTGAGTAAGGAAAAGGTGAGGAATCTCTGCCCAGGGATGTGCAGGGCACCCAGCTCCCTTCACATAGGTCTGGCACCACCTCGTGGAAATCCATCTGCTGCTCCTGGCTGCCACAGGGTTTTGTGGTAGCACATCTGGAGAGGTCTTTGGTGTCCAAGATGTGGTTAGGTTCATACCCAGTGGCTGGAGCATTCTGTGGCACAGAGGACTCCAGCCCCAGCCTGTGTCTTGGGGCTTCTTTCGGCTCTGGGATGATTTTTCTGGAAGAATGATTTTCTGGGTCTGGATCACTGACTCCAAGCCTCCCATTCCTGGACAGGTTGTAAGTAGAGGAAGACCACTGACTCCACCTTCTCCTGTCCTCCCACTGAGAAGAGAGCCAGGACTCCATTAACACCCCAGAGCCTTGGAGCCCTCCAGCACTGAGCCCCCAGCCGCTCACAAGGCACTAACACCAGAATAAGCCTCTAAGTGGCTTCTGAAACCATGAGCCAATTGCTGCATTAAGGGCTCTTGGCGTCACGGGGGAGGATTCTGCATCCTCTTATCATTAACTATGGCAGGAACTGTCCGTGTTATTCCTGTGTACCCATGGACTATTCCCGAACCCTCGTAGGCGTCTACACAGGTTCTTCTGTCAGGAGTAACCCTGAGGAAGGTGTTCCTGCCACAGCAGTCAGGTAGAACTAGGTGGTCTTTAAGGCCCCTTCCAACCCAAATCATTCTAGGATTCTATGATTCCTTGGCCGCTTTTCAGAGGGGTAAGCAAAAGGACACAGAGGCTCAGATTTTGGAAGGGGGATGCCCTCACATTGTTGCAGAAGGACCAAACTGGGGTGAGATCCCTCCTGAATTGAAGGGCTGGGTGCTCACTTGGCTGGGTGCTCCCTCTGTCTGGGATGGGATCCTGGGCAAGGGTCAGACAAAGCTTGGGCAAGACAGGACAAAAGATGCCATATGAGGTTTTGTTCCAGCTGGCAGTGGCGTCAGAGTGAGGGACAGAGCTGGGGACCTGTCTGGAGTACAAGTAATCAGCCATAGCATCTTATTTGGAAAGCTTTTTAATTTAATATAAACAAAACCATCCTCGAGGGAACAGGCAGCAACTGATGTGAAGCTCCCACAATACTGGGCCAGTGCACCTGTACCCCTGCACCCCAAGCTGATCATGCATTGTCTTGCCATAAACTTCGCTGGGACTCATGAAGGGATCTGATAAAAGGTCTTCAAATGGCACATATAGGCAATCCCTGTACCCACATCCTTGGGCCTGGCACCCTCTGAAGGCTGTTCCCCTTTTTTCCTGCAAGGATGAAAGAGGATCTGCCAAGCATGACTTGCACCCAGACTTGCAAAAATCTCTTTTTAAAAATCATCTCTTGGTTTCTTGGCTGCCTTAGACCCAGGAGAGGGCAGCAGCAGCCCAGACTGCAGCCTCAGCTACCCTTTCCAAAGCTCCTCTTCATCTCCTAAGCTGCGCAGAGGCAGCTGAGACAGAAAAAACAATGTACAGAGGGAGGAAGCGAAGAGTAAAAACCCAGTAGGCAGGCTAGTGGTACTCTCCTGGGCTTCAGAATTGTTTTCTTTCAAGGTGGAAGTGCAAAGAGAACAGTCTTTCATTGAAAATAAACTGTAGTGCCAGGGCTTTCCATGAGAGTCTTTCATTCTTTTGGTATTGGTG